TATTTCTGGTCTCAAATTCTGGAACATAACGATTAAACTATATTTAAATAATCAAAACTCTTTCATCTTAAAACACTTTATTTTACTTCATCCTGCGCGTAGTCACTGAGCACCTGCTTCATAGCGTGAAACTTAGGACGGGAGACAGGCATGACAACAGGAAAGCGTCCCTTGAACCAGTCCAGATCTCGACCACCAAACAGCGATCCCTCACGGTAATGCAGAAAGTTGTGCTGGATAAGGCTGAAGAGTGCCTCCTTCCGGATGACTTGACGTAGATCGTTGACGCTGCAAACGCCACCCTCAGCGTCCGTGAGCCTTTTCAACAGCAACTTGAACTCGTCAGGAGTCCACAGAGGCGAGACGCCCTTCACCGGATCTTCGGCAAAGGGGATCCCCAGCACAGGCCTCGTCCATTTCTGCGGAAGGTTCTCCGGCTGCATGCCTTCCGCGATCTCTGCCCATGACTTGGCCTGCATGAATCGTCGAGCTTTCTCCCAGGCTGCCTGCATCTCAGCTTCATCGTTTCCGCACCACGAAAGCTGTCTAGCAATGTGCTTGAGCGAGTTGATCCTCCCACCAAAGTAGTCGTAAATCTCCTTCCACATCCCGGGTGGTACGTCTCGATCTTTCAGCAGCCCCTTGAAAAACTTGAAGGACTCTTCCTCCGTAAGATCACCCACGACTCCAACCATATACCTGTCTTTACCGAAATGAGCCTCCATCCAAAACTTGAAGAAGTCCTCCGACGAGCAAAGGATCACGTTAGTGATTCCCATCTGCTTGGTAACCATGATCAGCCAGGCCTGGAGAGTCATCAAGTTCTCCTCTTCTGATTCACTAAGGCTCCACTCGTGCAGCCGGTTGGCCTCGTCGATGATCAGAGTGGGATATCCTCCTTGGCCACGAGAAACGAGCCGAGCAAGCGACGTCCACCCTGCGAACAAGGATTCCAGCGCCTTCAGAAGTCCTTGCATGTCCGTCCCTTCGACCTTCTCAATAGCATCCATCGCCTCGATCAAATCCTTGAAAAGATGTTTGATGAAGCCGGCTCCTGCCTCCTCTTCGTCTGCCTCGTCTGCCTTACCTGACTCCATGCTAGCCTTCCCCTCTGTAGAGTTCATCAGCTTCTCCAAGAATTTCCTGGCGGCCGGCACAAAGTTGTACAAAACCTGCGCCTTCAGCTCCCTCCCAAAGCTGGCCGCCGTGTTGAAAGTGCCGGAGCGCATGTCAATGTGGATCGGAAAAGTATGGTTGTCCCGGCGCTCTCGAAACATGAACTCAGCCAGCAGTGCGGACTTGCCTGAATCTGGAGGCCCCGTGACAAGAACCATCGATCCATCCCGAGCCGAAACCATATCCCTGAGACCCTTCAGCTCTTCTGATCTGTTGAAGAACACCCCTGACGACAACCTGGACGCCCTCCAGAGATTCCTCCTCGCCATCGCCAATGAATGATACGTTTTAGGGTTTTAGTTTTAGGGTTTATGGGTAACGAAAAACCCTAGTTTTAGGGTTTCTAACGGTCTAAAAGCCACGTGTATATGATCCAACGGTGACGATTTAGACGTTCATTTATATCCGACCTTTCCCCTTGTATATTCAGAAACAATTTATTCTTCATGTTTTTTCTCGTCTAGAATTCACGCCTAGAAACTCGCAATTAAATCTAATTTGCCTCTAAAGCTGATTGAATTTGCCCCCGCAGCCTTGGACAAATTCACAACTTTGTCCATGTAGCTAATTCAGTTGTGAAACATATACCAGAATAAAATTAATTTAATTTAATTATAACCAGGTTAGCTAAATAACATGTAGTAATAAGTTGGATGTAAACAATATCTTGGATATAATAATAATTTTATTGACAATTAGAATAAAATTTACGTTTTAGGCAACACTTTCTTTTTCATTTGGGTTTTTAGTGTCTTTCACTTTTCTTTCAGCTACTCTGTTGGGATTTATAGGAAATCTTTTTCAAATATGCATATGGTGAGTTTTTTATATGTTTTTAAAAAGGTTTTTGGTTTTAAAATCAGAAAAAAATTTAGGAGCTATTGCAGGGTAATTTGTGATATTTTTACTGGTCTTTTTTTAATTTTATTTTTCATCCTACGTCTTTAGTTTTTAACTTTGCCTATCTCTTTCAACATAGATTTTGTGGTGAGCATCCTCTCTTTATTAAAATTATGAAGTGTACGATGACTATTAGCTCAGATTTATTTGACAGAAATATCAATGACTGAGATTCAATATCTTATCTTTCATAATCAGCTCATATTTTATCTTCCATAATCAGTTCATCCTAATCCAAAGCTAAGTAAACAACCATATTAGGATGAACATTATGTCGGATATTTTGAAGTTTTTCTATTTTATTTTGTTAACAACACAAATTTTCAGCTTTAAGTTGATGAAGTTATTGAATATTGATTTTGAATATTTTCAGCTCTGGAGTTTCTCCTGTATGAGATCTCTCTTCCACTATTTCCGTCACCTACAGTGTTTTTAGGTTTAAAGTTGAAGAATTATTATGAGGATATTGTTTTCAGTTACCATCACCACCGATTTATTATCGCCACGTCTTTTTACATCTACGAAGCTTATCTTTTGATAGCAGCACCATGCTTCTTATCTTTTGACATTACTTTAAATTCTAATGTTTTAGTTTCCTCTCGACTTTATATGTTTTTTATTTTTTTAATTAAGCACTTTTCTGAGTCGGAGGCCCAAGTTAAATTCGAATTTGCTTGTGTCTAAACAAAAACCATGCACGAATTGTTTCCTCCTCGACTTTTGTTTTGTGCTCATTGAGCTATATGCTTTAAAGGCTGTATTTAAATTCCTAGCTGAGATATCAGTATAATCCAACTCACTCTGCTGTTTCATTCAAGTTGAAAGAAGTAACATTTTTCCTGTACAAAGTGGTTGACTGTTCATCTTGCTTTGTGAGGAGCCAATTCTGTGTATTCTTAATGAGGCAATTTGCATCATGGCACTGAAATTTCCATTATTTTCTTTATAGCTGCAGATTCGTTGAGCTGCTGTCAGAAGAGCTATAGCAATTTTAGCTTGGAATCATGGCCTGGATGATTGATCGGTTCATCCGCTGCTGCTGCTGTGAATGATCTCCTGGAAGAAGAAGGAAGACGGATTGAACACCTCCGACTGAATGGAGAAGGACAGGAACGTTTTTTATGTGTGAATTGGGCTTAACTTAAGTTGAGTTAAGGTGGGTCTTATCTTAAAAATTTTTTTTAGGTAAGTGTTTTTGTTAGCTGAAGTTGCAAAACCTAACGCCATCTTAACTTAAAATAAGTTAAGATGGGCTAGAATGGGCTCACTATCAGAACTCTGTATAGTGACATCCTAGCAATGTGAACCAATCATCTGTGACACAGGAGTCAAGAAATGTTGTCCACCAACTCTCTTCAGCATACATCGACACTATGGAAGGAAAACAACTATCAGAGATTCAGGTAGCAGGTATGTATCTCTACCTCATGTTGTACGCTGACGATCTGTTACTCCTTGCATAACATATGCAATACCAGCTTGACGTAAGAGTGAGATGGTAGTACTTCGACAGACAAAGAAGCAAGCCACCATGGATCCGATCAAAGTCTTCTATCGTGGAACACTGAGAGTACAACAATACAAGTACCCGGGATACATCGCCCATGAACGTGACCCCTGGCATGCTGGAGCAGATGATCGTTTTCGTGCCAGCGCACCCGCAACCACAACATCAGCCATTAGGGAATGAAGCGCGAAATGCCCCATGCATGCGTTGTATATGGTTTTTTTTCTACATATCTAATAAAAAGTATGATCCATTATCTTCTGTGCAAAACTCGCACTTCCGAAAGGGTTGCTTTTTGCGTCAAGCTTTCGGTTTTCTGGTCTGCCCGTGTTAAGTCTCCGGATTTCGACAGGCTTAAAAGAAAAAGAAAAAAACAATGTTGTTAAAGCTGTAGTCTTTTTGGGTAAATCAGATAAATAAACCATACAGAGAAATTTTGATTTAAAAAACATACATACATATATATATATATATATATATATATATATATTCAATTTCTGATTACAAATTTAACCACTAGTTAATCCACAAACCCAAACAGGCACGATCAGAACTCATTACTTTTTTCACATTGGCTTGACAGCTCCAACCTCTGAAAGTCTTCATCAAGCAGGGGAACAGTGATGGTCATAACACACCGCATTTCGCCTCCGGCTGCGAATCATCAGCAGTAAGTTACCTTCGAGGATTCGACGTCTGATGGCGCGGTAGCTGCTTCTACCACTGGGAGGTGGAAGAGCTGGAGAAGGCAATGAGTTTGCTTGCGCTGCAGACGAAACGGGCTTACCAGCAGCAGCAGGCGACGGTGTTGAGAGGTGCTGGAGTTGCTCAACCAGCTGCAAGGCCTCTCAAGAAAATCAGCAACAAAAGAAAATCACACCCCAATTGTTTCTACTCACAATTGAAGCATACCATTTCTTCCTTTGCGTGTCATCAGCGTCCACAGCCTCATCCATTTCCAATGTCGCATTGCTCCCTCACTCAACATCTCTTCTTCCTCCGCCTCCTCCTGAGGCATTTCATACTCGTCCTCTATTTGCTCTTCAGCGCGAACACTGTCGTTACTTCACGGTGAGGAGCTCCAGGGACTGTAAAACAAACTAAGAATGCGGCATTCGACCAAATAAACAGCAGCTCCGACCAAACAAACGAAGCAGGAAAAACAAAGAAGACTGGCCGATTCTACCAAGCAAAGCTTCAATGTGGACTAGAGATTGTTGAGCAAGTAGCCGCTTATGGTGCTCTGAAGCGCTTTCGTTGAGCCGGGACGCACACGCAACCCTCGTGAAGAGGCCGCTGGAGGAGGGCAAACAATCTTCGATTCCATGCTTGTGAGAAACGTTGTTTCCTTGACGGCCATGATCACCGGCTATGCCAGCTCGGCCAGTTTCTAAAAGCCGAGCTCTTGTTCAAGGCCATGCCGGAGAGAAACATAGTGTCATGGACGGCTATGGTGTCTGCATATGCCCAGAACAGGCATTTGCAAGAAGCTCGCGCCTTGCTCGATTCCATGCCCGAGAAGAACGTCGTCACGTACAACGCGATGATCCAAGCATACGCCGATGCCAGAGAGATCGACGAGGCGAGAGCTTTGTTCGATCGAATGCCCTCGAGGAACGTTGCGTCGTGGAATGTGATGCTCAAGACTTATGCCGAGGCTGGGCTTGTGGACAAGACGGAGAACTTGTTCCGGGACATGCCCGAGAAGGACACCGTCTCGTGGAACATCGTGATCCAATCCTACTTCTCCAGCACCAAGATCGAAAAGGCGAGGCAGGCCTTCGCAGAGATGCCTCGCCCGGACGTGGTGACTTCCAACATCATGATCGCGGGCTTCGTCCAGAACGGGCATCTGGAAGACGCGAGGAGGATCTTCGACGGGAGGAGCTCGCAGCTCGACATCGTCTCCTGGAACACGATCATCTCGGCGTACGCGCAGCGGGGAGACTTCGCAGTGGCGCAGGAGCTCTTCGATTCCATGACGCACTGAACGAAGATCACTCTCTTCTCGGCATACGCCCAGCACCGCCGTCTCGAGGAGGCCAAGCTTCTCTTCGATCGAATGCCGCACGAAAGGAGCGTAGAGATTTGGAACGCGCTGGCGGCGGCCTACGTCCACGACTCGCGATTCAACGAGGCCAAGCGATTGTTTGACGAGATGCCCGAGAGAGATGTCTTCTCCTGGACGGGGATGGTGGCGGCCTACACCACGAGCGGTAACTTGGATCTTGCCAGGAGGATGTTCGACAGCATGCCCGACAAAGATCTTGTCGCCTGGAACTCGATGATTGCAGCGCACTGTCGTGTCGGGACTGTGGACGACGTGCTGCGCCTCTACACCGGTCTGCTGCTGGCCGGCACTGTCCCCGACGAGGTGACATTCACGACCGTGCTGGGAGCTTCCAGCCACGCGGGGCTCCTGCGCGAGGGACTGGCTTACTTCGTCTCGATGACGCTCGATCACCGGATCATGCCTTTGCACCGCCACTACCGCTGCGTGATCGATCTTCTCGGGAGGTCCGGGCTGCTGCTGGATGCCGAGCAGCTGCTCAAAGGCCTGCCTTACAACTTCGCGGCGGATGACATCGCTGGAGCGGCGTTCCTGGGAGCTTGCAAGACGCACAGAGACGTCGATCGTGGAGCTCAAGTTGCGAGAGAAGTGATAGATATGGATGCCAAGGATGACACTCCATATGTGCTTCTCTCCAGCATCTACTCCGGACGAAGAGCTGTGTAGAAAGATAGTCAGTGGATTGAACATCGATCAATCGGAAAAAGCTTGTACCGGGATGACAACAAAAGCCTGTAAATGTGAGAACAAGAAATAGACATCGATACGTGTGTCACGCTACCTAGCGTCGTCATGACTCGGACGTTGTCTTAACTGGCCCATTCCTCTGCTCCGGAGAGATATCCATCTCGAACACCAAAACTTCATCCGAGACCGGCCGAAGATCCTGTGTTCCACCGTCAAACTGACTACTCTCGCCATTTTCCTTGCGTTCGAGACTGTCCAAGTCTACCGCTTCGAGGTCTGATGTAATGCCGACCAGCGTCTGTCTGTCTTCTTCGTCCTCCTCCCTGTCTCGCTTGGGCCGTGGACCTTCTCGTTCCAGATGCTGGACTTGGTTGGAAGATGTAGCCGTGTCAACCAGGTCCTCGTCCTCACCAAGAACTACTTCGCCATCGCTGCCGCTGCTGCTACTGCTGCTGCCGCTATCTGCTAAGGAAAAATGTATGTTTTGTCCATCTTCAGTCACGTCTGGATTCGTTTCAAGATCGTCTTGAAACGGAAACCATGGTGAGTCCGACCCAAAGAGGCGAGCACTGTAAGCAGTACATGTCAACTCAATGGCTACCAAAAACTAAGCTCGTTTTACTAACCTCTCCTGCTCGTCGCAAAGGCGAGCAGACTTGATAATCACCTCGGAAGAGTCCTCTTCAAAGAAGGCATCCTGCAAAAGAAAAGTGTAAGTGCAGAGGAAGAAAAATGACTAGAAATACCTCTTCCGTGTCGTCGTTATCAAACATGTTGTATCTGAAAACTTTTCTAGTCAAGTTACCAGCCAGCGCAGATATACCATAATCACGATCACAAAGGTCATCTTCATCACTATCCAAGGGTCTGTTGTGGTTTGATATCGGCCGCCTGCAGACAAGCAAGTTAAAACATCACATCAACATGATGTACCATCTCAACACAACATAACTCACCCACATGACCATTGGTACACATTTTCTACCGTATTTCGCTCCTGAAGCACCGTGGACTTCCATTTGAGCCAGCTCCAATTATCCTGAAGATGGATAGCTTAGATCAATGTGTTAGGTGGATCAACAATCAAACACCTGCAAGTATCTCTGGACTTGCTCGTTTTCAGATTGTGTCAAGCTGTTGGCAATCCGCGTTAGATGTCCAATGTTCCCGACTCTTGGAGGTTGCTTCCTTTCTGATCTTGACTGCACAGATAATGCATGCCATTAACGAAGATCACAAAAGTTTAGCTAGCTTACTTCTCGCTGCTGGTCGTGCAGCGTATTCGAAACGTATGGGTCTTTGTCCACTTCAAGCAGCCTTCCTACGAGGTTGCAATCTCGAAACAAGCTATCGACGACAGTAGAGCTCCCATAATTAATACATGTGAGTAGTACGGTCTCCACATGATGATGCAACATGTTATTAAAGGGATAGCTGCACAAAAGACACCCTGCAAAATTAGAAACTGTCAAGCCGTATGCCTCTGCTCTATTGCATTTACGGTTCTCAAAAATTGCATCAAGAAAAATTCATACGTACTCGAAGAACAGGTTTAGCAGTCTCTGTAATGCCTTGTGCTGAACCAGAACTTCTCCAACTCTGTCGGGATCTGCTCTTAAGAGAGCGGCAGTGAACTCCACAATCTGCAAACCAGAAACAGTCAAGACAAATAAATAGTAAATAACACCCTCGCCTTTAGACGATGGGTACCGAATGGCGGCCTTAATATCCCATAAGTAGTCGGTAGTGAGGCTTCGTCCTTAGAAACATCCAACACTTTTAGCATTTCGCCTGCACAACACTGAAATAGGTGATAGTCCGAGGACAGTCCACTAAACGTACCTAAGGTCTGAAGCATCTCATCTAAAGTCTCTGGGACAACAGTAGACGGCTGCCCCTTCGGTTCCAACAAAGAGATACACACAGACAACGAGTGCACAAGAATTGCCTTCGAGTTTACGTTTTCCAAGGCCCGAGTGAAAAGCTTTGTCACAAATCTTGAAAAAGCAGAATCTTAGAAGTGCGTTACTAGATTAAAAGCGAGAGCATTTACCTCGGACTAGAGAGTTTCAAGGCGAGAGCAGACTGAGGCAATCGCATTACTGTGCACAAAGTGTTCGCAGCATTTGCATGGACTTCAGACTTCTTCTCCTGTATTGAAACACGACCTCAGCATTTGAAAAAACGTTTAAAAGGCAGGACTACTTACGGAAGAGCTGAGCTTGTCCACTAACATATCAATCAACTCGGTTTCTGCTAGCCATTGGACAGCCTCTGAGTGGTATGTGTAGATTTGGTTATTGGCGCCAACGAGGCGCATCAGAACCTACAGGCCTAGACTTCTCAACGACAACGTCTCAACGGAGCTGATTTTACCTCCATGATTGAAGTTAATCCAATGTGATCCACCATTTGCTGCAAAACTTCTGTATGATTCTGAAAACCAATGCTGCTCAGTTCACGAAAGAGTGGAGCGAGATGATTATAGTCAAATACCTGTATATAATGCATAAGTTCCTCCGTCTTTCTAACAAGCAGACCGATAACAATCTAAGATCAAATAAAAACAGTCAAGGATGACAAATTCAGCTTTGAACGTCAACACTTACCCTGGAAAAGTTTCCAGCTTGTTGATCATCTCGATCATAGTCAGGAACCAGAAAAGAAAAGAGAGACTCCATCAGCTGCGCACAAAACAAAACAGTTCCAGACAAAAGAATTGTTTCCTGGAAGAAGGAAAGTATAAACTAGAAGAACCTCTTCATCACAGGCCAGCGTTGTCAAGATGTCGTCCACTTCCGAGCTCAGTATCGCACTCGATACAAAAGAGTACCTGGGCAAGAGAGAGCGTGTGACAAGACAGACAAAGACGCGAAACTCTATTCTTACTTGTAAGATTTCTCGTCGTCGTGAACTGGCACTACGATGGCGTACGAGATCATTTTCTTCATCCGATCCTTGTTCTGGAGGCTACACACACGCACAAACAAACAATGGTCACTCGCTCACTCCACCACAAGAAAAGAAAAAATCGAAACGAGAATCGAAGAAAGAGAGCTCACAATTTCATGAGATCTTGGTTGCGGTAGCAGCTCTGGAGCACATCATCCTCGTTGAGAATCTCCTCGAGAGTGCACTCTTCGCTTTCGAGCATGTTTGGCAGCTGATAGGAGGAATAGGAAGCTTAGCGCGAGGGAATGCAAGAAGGAACACCTACATTCGAGCCCCAGAAGGAGCCGGCCATGGCGCAGACGAGATTCTAGCTCCCAATCATCGACGAGCCTCTTCCCGGGACAAAACCCTAGCTAGATCCCACCTCAAAATGCGCGCCTCGATCGTGACAAGAACAGGATGAGCAAGCCCGGAAGAGATTCTACCGCGCTGGAGCGTGGATTAGAAGCAAGAAACGCGGCCTTGGGCCGAAAAGGAAGAAAGCTTTGGAACTAGGCCTAAGAAGAGAAATTTTCGTTTAGGGTTCTTCGCTAGGAACTAGGTAGGAAGGAAATATTCTCGTTCTCGACAATGCAGCGCGTCCACGATCTCGACAGCAAGATCTCTCTCTGGATTCACCAGGCCGGCGCCAGGATTCCTCGATTCGTGCTGCGCGTGCTGGAATTCTCCGGCGATGGCGTCTTCTGGATCGTCGCAATCGCGGCGCTGGCTTTCGCGGCTCCATCCTCGCCCCAGCTCCAGCTCCTGGTGCCCGACCTGATGCTGGGATTCGTGCTGGATGTGTTGCTGGTGGCGTCGATCAAGACGATCGTGCGCCGCCCTCGTCCAATCTACAACAAAGGCATGTATGTGATTTCTTCCGTGGATCACTGGTCGTTTCCCAGCGGCCATTCCTCGCGAGCGCTCTTCATGGCGACCTTCTTTTGGCTCAAGGCCGCGAGCTCCATTTCTTCTTCTTCTTCTTTGCCGCCATCGCCACCGCGGGCGAGCTTGCTCGAGTTCGTCGTCACGGTGGAATTCTTGGCTCTCTCCTGGGCTGTGGCCACCGCCATCTCTCGAGTTCTCTTGGGGAGACACTACGTGATGGATGTGTTCGTTGGCTCGAGCCTGGGAGTTTTGGAGGCGGCGGTGGTGGACAAGTTCTCTCACGCCACGCTGCATCAAGCTTTGAGGAAGAAGCTCTCGGCCACCACCATCGCTTGGAGGTAGCGAGAATCTCTACCTCTTCTATAGCTCGCTATTTTCAGAGCATTGAATGAAAGCTTGATACCCTGGAAAAACTTTCCAAGGTATTCTTGGAACGGCTGCCTTTAGTTATAACAATAGGGCGGCGGTGGTGAAGGTGGTGGCCGTGACGGTGGTGAAGGTGGTGGCGGTGATGGTGGCGGAGGTGAGGGTGGAGATGTGGTGGTGATGGTGACGAGGCAGTGATGGTGACAAAAGGGTGGTGCAGACACCCTGACAAGTTCTACTGTTCTACCTTGTTGGGTGGCACAAACAAGACCACAAAGAAAATGAGTGTTCATTTTATAGGTGGATCTAATGGTTATAAAAATTGATATAAAGGTAATAGAGCATATGTTAAATTGATATAAAAGTCATCTTTAGGCTGAGACTTTTACGCACGAGTTTCTTGCGAGCGAGTCTTCTTCACAGATAGAGAGAGAGTTTGGTTGGGGTGGCACATCTGTTGAAAAAAATATATATTGCAGGTGTCCTCAGATTGCTCAACGAGAATAAAAAATCCTGCGCGAGACCATGAGATGGCCACGAGGCAGCAGTATATACTTAGTGGCGCTTCGTGGGAGAGACTAAAGTCGAAGCACAGAGACAGTGAGAGAGAGAGAGAGAGAGAGAGAGAAAAAGAGGGGCAGGCTTTGGAACTAGGAGGTATTAGACAAGAGCTTGTAGCAAGCTATCGCTCTAGCGCAATTGCCACAATATAGATCCCGGCTTGCGCAGCTCTGGTGGATTCTTGAGCATGGTGCGCCCTAGCACTCTGCTCATCCTCTTGTGTGTGGGCTTCCTTCTCTTCCCGATTTTCCAGAGTGTCAATGGAGCTCTAGAACTCATAGACTGCGCACTCAACGAGCAACGCTGCTGTGCGTTCCCAACAGGTTTGGTTCTCTGGCAATGCTGGGCAAGGATTAGCTACTGGGGAGGCTGCGCTGCACCACCACCACCACCACGTCCTCCATCGCCATCACCACCACCAGCACGGTACCCACCTCCACCATCACGCCCACCACTGTCACCCTCCCCACCTCCGCCTTCACCTCCTCCGCCATCACCTCCGCCACCATCTCCACCACCTCCAACACCGTCCCCACCTCCGCCATCACCCCCACCACCTCCATCCCCACCCCCATCATCACCTCCACCACCGTCACCACCCCCACCTTCCCCTCCGCCACCATCACCGCCTCCTCCTCCTTCTCCACCGCCACCATCACCCCCGCCACCGTCGCCTCCGCCGCCATCTCCACCTCCTCCTCCTTCTCCGCCGCCACCATCACCCCCGCCACCGTCCCCTCCGCCGCCATCTCCACCACCTCCGCCTTCATCGCATTCCCGTCGTGTCTCCATTTCTATGATTGCAGTGACTATTATAACATCTCTCTGTTATTAGATGGCTCATTGGAGCTCCAATTTGTATAGCTGAGAGGTTTCCGTTTCGAGTTGTGAGTCTTTCCTTTGGAATGGAAATCTATGCACAAGGCCACAGTGAATGCTCTCGCGAGGCTCGTCCAATCTTGCAAGAACTTGGAGGAGGGCCGATGCCTCCACGCCGGGATCAAGCGCACCGATCTCTCCCGCGACTCTTACCTCAACAATCTCTTGATCGCGATGTATGGCCGCCATGGCAGCCCCGCGGACGCTCGCGACGTTTTCGACAAGCTTGGAGCTTCCACCACTATCTTCAGCTGGAACTTGCTCATCACAGCCTTCGTTTCCAGCGCAAAGACCCAAGATGCCGCGGCTGCTTTCTCGCGGATGCCACAGCACGACGTTGTCTCGTGGAATGCGGTTCTCTCGGCTTACACCCGATCGGGAAGAACCCCAATGGCTCGCCAACTTTTCGATTCCATGCCCCAGAGGAGCGTTGTGTCGTGGACAACGATGATCACAGCATATACCGAGTCTAGGCATCTTTCCAATGCAAAGAGTTTCTTCTACAAGATGCCTCAGCATAACAAGGTTACGTTTTGCGTAATGTTGCAAGCTCTTACGCAACACGCTGGGTCTAGTCAAGCTAAAGTCTTGTTTGATCGCATGCAAGAACGAGATAATACAATCTGGAACACCGTTCTCAACGCATATGCCTTGGAAGAAAGCGTTGAGCTTGCGGAAGAGATCCTTGCAAAGATGCCTCTACAGTGTAAGTTTTCATGGACAATTATGCTCTTGGCATATGCCCGCGCCAGCTTACTCGAGAAAGCGAAACAACTGTTTGATGTCATGGCCGAGAGAGACGTGGTTTCATGGAACGCATTGCTCCAGGCAAGTGCCGAGACTGGGCTTCTGGAGAAAGTTGTGATACTCTTTGATCGGGTGCCGCAATGCAACATGTCGTCATGCAACTCGACGCTCGTAGCTTATGTCCAGTGCGGGTATCTTGATCAAGCACATAAACTCTTCGCGAGGATCCCCGATAGAGACTTAGCGTCCTGGAGCATCATGATCCTTGGGTGTGCTGGAAACCGGCAGGAGCGACTGGCACTGGAGCACTTCGGGGAGATGCTGCTCGAGGGGATCAAGTGCGACGAGATCACGATGCTGGGGGTCTTGTCAGCGTGCAATCACTTGGGTCTAATCCAGGAAGGAGTGAGCTACTTTGTGATGATGGTGGCAGAGCTCGGGATTGATCCGTTCGTGGAGCACTTCAGCAGCCTAGTGGATCTTCTCGCGAGAGTCGGGCAGCTGAGAGAAGCTCACGACTTGCTGAGAAACATGCCGTTCGTGCCGGATCCAGCGGCGTGCTGCTCCATGCTGGGCGCTTGCAGGACTCACGGCGATGTGGAGCTGGGAGCTTACACGGCTGCAAACGAGGAGTTTGGGATCGAGCCACACCATCCATCGCCATATCTCTTGCTCTCGAGCATGAAGCACTGAGATAGATTCCACAAGCTTAGTAACTGGGATAACAAATTTAGTACCTTAAACGTAAGAAAATCGAAGCTCTTGGCTCCAGGGAGTTGATACTTTGAAATGCAACATCATACAAGTCTGCCAACTTTTGGAAGTGAAGCCTGGCTCCAAGTACGAGTGGAAGTATTACACGGCAAAAGAAGAGTTCTCACCTGTACAACTATCTTGTACGAGGTTCTTCTTTGCCATGTATTGTTTTGATGATATCCTGGACTTGGAGAAAGCCAAACCATTCTTCTTCTTTGGTTGAGAAATCTAGCTCCATATCCGGGACAGCTTCTTTAATACACGGCAGCGGCATTGGTGAATGCCAAGTTCTTGGAGACCTGGATGGAAGCGAAGGTATGGGAAGGAGCTGTGGATGCAACACGGCAGTGTCGAAAGCCTTTGTGTCTCTTCTCAAGTGGTGCATACAAGAGAATAATCTACACAAGTTCGTCGCGTGCACGGCTTTGTTTCCGCGAGGCATCCCGGCTGCGCTGAAGACCAGTTCGTGGGAAACACGATACTACAGGCATATGATCTAGCTCATAAGGTGTTTGCGGGCATCTGGAACAGAGATCTATTCTCGTGGCCGCGGTTTCTGTGCAGAATGGGCAGTTTGCCGAGGCGTTGTTGCTGTTTACACGGATCGAGTAAAGTGACTTGCGTCACTGTTGCTTTTTTCTGCCTCGTTCTTGCTTGCTCTAGTGAGAAAGATGTTCCAGAAGGAATTGCCACTCACAGACTGATCGAAGAGTGCGAGCTTGCTTCCAACGAACCCTTGTGCAACTCGCTCCTGAACACCGAGCTTGGGAGACTAGAGGGCGTTCGGGAAATTTTTGAAAAGATGGCGAACAAGAACGTGATCTCCTGGATGTCCATCGCCTCGGTCCTGCGCCGCCATTCGCCTGGGCGAGAAGAGGCTGTGCGCGGCAATCCTTCGCAGCCGCCTCCAGTGTCGCCCGGCTGCACACAGATCGAGTGCTCTCACTGCCTGCTCGAGCATTCCTGCTTCAGTGCAAGGCAAGCTCCTCTACCGGGAACTTCTGGAGAGCAGTGGCCTGGAAGACGATGCGGTGCTCACGACCGCATTGCTCGACATGTACGCCAGCTACGGAGGCCTGGAAACTGCCGAGAGGTTTCTCTGGGACATGGTTTTCAAGGACGAAGTCACGTGGACTGCGATGATCGCTGGATATGTGCGCAGCGATCTAGAAAGCCGTGGAGCTCTTCCGGGAGATGCTGGCAAACAGCTTGAGCCCCGGGGCCATGACGTTTGTCCACTTGTTCTCGGCGGAGTTGTGGTGGTACCTTTATATGATGCTTGAGGACTACAAGCTGATGCAGGAGCTGGATCACCAGGTCTGTGATTGATCGGCTTGCTGGGACGGCTCAACAGGGCCGATGAACTGATCCAAACCCGGCCTGGAGGACGCTGCTTTTGGCTTGCAAGACGCACAACAAGAAGGATCGAGCGGACCGAGCGGCAAAGAAGAATAATAGCAGTCCACGGCCGTGGCACCAGTCGAAGAATTGGATCGTCGCCTCCACGTCCCTGGCCAGGGACGTGGTTGAGCACATCCACCACAATGTCCGTGTTGAGCTTGCCGCAGTACTTGTGGAGCTTGTGCTTGCGCACCTTTTCCATCTCCATTTCGAGGATCTCCAGGAGCTCCTGTGCCTTAGCCGAGATCACCAGTTGCCTAAACCTCGCCATTGCCAGAGGGTTTGTCTGCAATCCCTGGTTGAGAGCTCTTCCAGCTTGATCTTTCTTGCTCCTTGATCACCATTGCCGTGCCCTGGCATTGGATTATGATAGATTCCGGCCATGGGGCTTGATTGAGCCGCATTCCCATCATTGATTTGCTACTACAAGGCCATGTTGGAATCAATTGTCCGGGAGAAGGAACAACTCACTAATTGGTATAGTGCGATGCCAGCTCGTCACCTCACGGCGGCCTCAATTTATACTGATAAACTCTAAATTTTAATTGCAAGAACAAAAAATTTTCGATTGCGCCATGGCCATGGAAAAAAGCTACAAAATTATGCATGCATTGAACTTAATTGGCTGCAACGGCTTTGGCTCTAGCTCCAGCTCCAGCTCCAGTTTTGGATTGTGCTGCTGCTGCTGCTAAGACCAGAGTTAAAGCTATTGTAGCCGATCAAGTTCAATGCACGCATAATTTTGTAGCTTGTTTCCATGGCTATGGTGCAATAAAAAATTCTTTGTTCTTGCAATCGAAATTTAGGGTTTATCAGTATGAACGATCCATAGAGGCTGCCGTGAGGTGACAAGTCGGCATCACACTACACCAATCCATGAGTTTGTCCTTCTCCCGGACAATCATTTTTAACACGGCCTTGCAGTAACGAATTGACGATGGAAATGCGGCTCAATTGAGCCTTATGGTAGGAATCGATCATAATCCAGTGCCAAGGCATAACAGTGGTGATCAAGGAGCAGGAAAGATCAAGTTGGAGGAACTCTCCTTTAAGCCAGGGATCACGGATAAGCCCTCCAGCAATGGCGAGGTTTACGCAACTAGCGATTTCAACTGAGGCACAGGAGCTCCTGAAGATCCTTGAGACAGAGATGGAAGAGGTGTGCAAGCATAAACTCCACAAGTACAGTGGCAAGCTCAACATGGACATCGTGGTGGATGTGCTCAACCATGTCCCTGGCCAGGGACGTGGAGGCGATGATCCAATTCTTCAACTGGTGCCAAGGCTGCCATGGCTACATGCACATGGCATTTGCCTTTAACTGGCTTCTTGAGTTCTTGGTGAACAAGCAGCAGTACAAGCACGCGCACCAGATGCTCATCGCCCAGAGCAAGCCAAGCTCGTTCCAGGCGAATGCTTTCACGTACTCGACCATCGTCCGCAGCTACTGCAAGGATGGCGAGACAAGGCAGGCAAGCTCTGGCACTCCTGGAACACATGAAGAAGGCGGAGGTTCCAGCCAACGCGAAGCTCTACAACATCATTCTCACGCATCTGTGCAAGCATGGGAAGGAGAAGGAGGCACTCGACTTGCTCCACTCCATGGCGACGACTTCGTGCGCTCCCGACATCTACACGTACAACATTCTCATCAACGCGTTGTGCAAAGTCGGGAGGCTCGAGGACGCACAGGGCCTGGTGGAGGGACTGTCCGACGGATATCGTCACCTACAACACGCTCATCCATGGACTGTGCCGCAAAGGCAACGGGAGGTTCCGGGTGGAGAGAGCCTTCCAGCTGTTTGAGGAGATGGTTGACAAGGGCCACACCCCGACGTCCGTGACTTACACCCTGGTGATCGACGCACTGAGCAGGCGCAGAAGGTGCTGGATCTCATGCACGAGAACGGCTGCGCTTTCGATCTCATCACGTACAACATGCTCATCAATTGCTTCGCCAAGGCCGGGATGATGGACAAGGCGATGGATTTGTTCGTGGAGATGCCAACCAGGGGCTGCATTCCGGACGTTGTGACTTACAACTCCATCGTCGACGGGTTTTGCAAGGCCGGGAAAGTTGAGGAAGCCAACAAGCTCTTCGCGGAGATGATGCGTATCTCGTTGAGATGAGAAAGGAGGGACTGGTGGATGCGATCTCGTACGTAGCTCTGATCAGCACGATTTGCAAGCTCGGGAAAGGGAAGCTGGGATTTCAGCTGCTGCGAGAGATGCTGGAGAAGGGATTCAAGCCAAACCTCGTCACCTTCAACGTTGTCTTCGAGGGGCTCAGCAAGGAAAGCAACACCGACGACGCCAAGATCACGATCCAGGAGCTGAGGCAGCAACGCAGCTCACCCCCATCAAATAAGTAGCGGGGATGCAAAACAGTGAGCATCGTGTGAGGAAAGTTTGCAGTTTCTTCTAACGAGGATTTCTGTCAGGTGTCACTTCAACAAGTTCCGCCAAAATTAAACACGGGAAGAATGACTTGGCAAACAGTGAGCTTCTGCTTGATTCATTTTGACTGTTTTTGCTAATCTTTCCGTGTTTTGGTCGTGGGAAGTTTCAGCCGTCGAGAAGCTTCGACTATAGCTTCTTTTGCGTTTTTTACTCTGATGCTATGACAAAGAAGAACTCCTTTTTGCAAGGTCCTAGAATGACATCCGCAACAGATCTCTGGCACTCAGGGATTGATAAATGGCTGCACGAGATCATGGTATTGTCCCTTCTCGCCCCTCGATTTCAGCTCACTGGATTCTTCTTTTTTTTTCAGGATCTTTCAGAGCACTGACAGCTGCGATCTCGAACAGAGCTTTGCACCAGCAGGATCGGGAAAGGAAGTTGGGTTTCAAACCTTTGAGGATCATGGTCTAGGAGCTGAGACAACAGCATAAACAAGTAGCTCTGGTGAGTTTCGTTTGAAAAAATTTCCGATATTTCACAGGTATCCAAGCTGGCTTTTTTTTCTCTATTCGTTTTGTTAATCAGGATATCACAGGACCATTGTCTTCTGTATGGAAGGAGTGAGTTTCGTGGTGTGTAGAGTTCGGCGTTGACACGACTGGAGATTGGCGGGTCCAGTTCTCGAAGAACGGGACTTCCACAGGCTGAGGTTTTGCCTTCTCAAAATCAGAAGGCTCTTGTTTTTCTGATCTCTAATTCCAGGCTAACTTTCGAGACGCTTCGGAAGCTGCGAGGGGGGCCAAGAGTATGCGCGAAAACGAGTGACGGCCCTCGTTTTCGCGCATTCTCTTGGGAATAATGTGTTCAGATATTTTCTGGAATGGTTGAAACAAGAAGTACCGCCCAAACTGTACACCACTTGGATCGACGATCACATTTTCACGTATCATGCTCTAGGTGAGATTGGCGGATTGTGAACCTTCTTACCAGCAATGCTATCTCTTGCAGGTGCTCCTTTTCTAGGAGCTCCAGATGCTCTGGTTACTTCGTTTTGATAGGGTGCAGCTCGAATCATGCTTAGAACTTTCAGTTCCGGTTTGTGGATGTTGCCGTTTTCTGACAACAAACCACTGTCTCAAAGGAATACGACCAAAACCGAAGGCTTAGTTGCTCCAGACTGGCCTGTCAACGTGCTTGAGGTGGACATGCCAAGTTCTGGTAACAAACGAATGGCTTATTAATGCGTTATCCAACTTTTGTCCACTTTGGCAAGGGTGGTCTATCCTGGTGAGTCTTTGGAAAACGGAGCCCTTGCAGCTCTAGCAAATTACACAGTTCCTATCCAGCGGTTTTATTCAGCTCAGAAAATATCGGATGGCACAAGCCTCAAGGAGATGGGTGAATTTGATCCTCAAGCTAAACTGGCTTTCTATCAGCTCAAGAAGTGTGTGATTACTAAACTACTTCCTAATTCTCAGATACTACTTGGATAATCATGGGAGCGGCCGCCGATCGAAAATGTGTTTTGCATGTATGGTATCAATCTTAAGACTGAGGTTAGTCCTCTTTGAAAACCTTATAGTGGAAAGATTGAGTTGTGAAATCCAGGTTGGCTATCAACTGTCTCCGAGTGGAAAGCCGTACCCAATTATCAAGGATGTCATCTATGAAACAGATGGAGGTTCGTTGCAGACAAGGTAAGCACTTTGTAAACAAGATCATTTCTAAAAACCATTGCAACAGGTCAGGATTAGATGTCGATGGAAATGGTGGTGTTGCGAGTGGTGATTCCACAGTGAGTTATCTTACAAACTTCTGTTCTTGATGGCCTACATGTTTTCATATGCTTAGGTACCATACCACTCTCTTTCTTGGTGCAAGATATGGCTGAGTCCACGCGTGAACATCACAAGAGCTCCTCAAGTAAATATGTCATTTGCTGGTTTCATTCTTTCAAGCCTGATGATTTCTGTGATTTCTAGACTGCACACAAAGGTTCAGACATTCAAGAGGTTTTAGACGTGGAACACGAACATGGAGGTGATCTTGTATACAACGGGAGCCGAGACAGTCGAATAAAATACATCACATACTATGAGGACACTGTTGGACTGACAGGGAAGAAAACCGCTGTTTGGGAGTTTGACAAAAGTAATGACCTGCGAACCTCCTGGCTGCTGATAATTCTACATGTGATCACAGGAATTTGGTCCGCTCGCCTGTTCTACTCAGGGAACTGCCACTAGAAAACGTTCACAATTCCCACCCACAAGCATTGAGAAGCTTCGTCTCCAAAGGTCAGCCCTCGAAGTAACGCCATTTTCTCTGTAACTTAGACCGGTTGTTGCAGCTAGACGAGAACCCATGCGAGACGAGGACTGCTATTGGGACTACTCAAAGGCAAAGTGCGGCCTTTTGGATTATTGCGAATACAGGTCGTCTCCATGGCGCTTCATCCAGGAGCTCGATCTGGCCACCAGTGGCTTCTGCGAGGAAGGACTCCAAGACCCGCGAAGGTGGCTATGGCGTCGTCTTGACCCGGATGCCGATGGACGGATTCTTCACCGGACGACACACAACACGTGAGTCTTTCTCGCTCGGAGTGCCCAGATCTTGTCTAAACCCCTGGTAAGGAAAATCCTACTCCAGGCGTACCGTCAGCAGCACTTTCTTTCATGCCATGCCCGGGAAGAATGTAGTGACTTAGAATGCGATTCCTTGAGGAAATGCCCAGATGGGGCAAATATCCGTAAATTCCAGAGTGGCACGTAGTTTTGGATTCTCAAAAGTTGCAAAGATCAGCGAAGCAAGAAACTAGTTCGAGCCGAGATTCTGTGTCATGGAATGTAAGCTGGAGATTTTCACGAAGAAAAGAAGTGCACAAAAGGAGAATTGCACACTGATGACGTGGACTGGAATGGTGAAACCGATTAATTGCACAATCTCTTGATTCATTGCCTCAAAGAAGCCTTGTGTCGTGGACAATTTTCCTAAGAAACACTTTGCTATCAGGAATTCCTGGGAAGGGCCAAAAGAATGTGTTTGCTGAGAGAGACAGCATTCCTTGGAACGCTATGATCTCTGCATATGCCTAACCAGGGCATGTATCGACTCACGACCATGGGGCCGGCGCTAAGTTCCACAAGCTGCTAAAAAGATGGCATGT